GCAGCTTGCTTTCTCCCTTTCCCTTTCTCTCTCTGATCAAATCAAAAAAACAATAACAAACAGAATAAGTAATACTTTTAAAAAGCAGTTTGTGGAAAGTGAGCATTATGTGAAAACTGTGGGCGGACCTCAGACGGCGTGCACCAGAGTAAACTTGCGCTTGCTCTGCCTCCCCACTCTCACAGCCCCTTGTAGGTGCCGTCACACTGCTCCGACTCTCGGGTATTTAAGAATGCTTCCAAGACGCAGCCCATGCCTCACCCCCACACCCTGCAAGGGAAGTAATGGAAAGCAAGATTAACTCCAGGAACGGGCTTAGAACTCGAGGACCGGGACAGCTGAGACAGTCACACGCAAAATGAGCGTCAAATCAGTCAACGGGCCCAAGAGCACCAAGCTCAGAGACACGCGACTGGGGGCCAGCACGGTGAGGGCCTGAAGCCCCAGGTTTCTGGGCTGGCTACGTGACAGCGCCCGCGCCCTCCCCAGGCACCAGCTGAGCAGGATGAGCAGCCCCCACTCACAGGCGCAGGGAGCTTCAGTGTCCCCGCATCTCAGCTGGCCTCACGACAGGCCCTACGGCCACACGGGAGCGGGTGTGCGGGAGATACCGGGGCTGGGCTGGGAGACCGATCCTGTCCCAGCCCGGCCGGCCCTGTTCACCTCGGCTCCCTCGCTGGCCGGCCTCTGCATGCAAGAGGAGGCCTCTGCATGCAACGCAGCCGCGTTGGCGAGGAGCCCTGCCGACTGCGAGCGTCACACGGGTGAGGCCCGACACTGCCTGGGAGGGGAAGGGAAGGGCAGGCGCTGGCAGGCAGTTCAGAGCCACGGATCCCGGACTGGGACAGAGACACACTCGAGCCAGGTGGGCATGCGGCACGCAGCCCTGACCCAGCAGGGCCTGTGGGGGGCAAGAGCCCCATCACACACCATGGCTTAGGTCAGTGGCCTGGGAAAGCCACCTGTCACACGGCTTCCCACTGCCCTGGACCAGGACAGGTGTGCCGTTTAAAGTCACCGTTAGCCGCCCCAGGACGAACAGGGAGGGTCACCCGAGTACTGCCGGATGGCTGGGCCACCGAGCAGGCGCGGGAACGACACCGTCTACAGCTGCCGGCCAGCGGCGACAAACGCAGCGCACGGACGTTCCTGCTGGCCCGCTCACCGGGCACCGGTCAGCACCTCGCATGGCTCAGTCACGTCGCCCTCCCTCGGAACAGCCCCGAGGGCCTACTGCTGTGCAGGTAAGGAGATTGCAGCACGGAGAGGTGACGTAGCCGCCCGAGGTCGCACAGCTAGTGAATGAGAGGCCAGGACTTGGGGCCCGGGGTCGCTGCCACAGTGCAGACCAGGGCTGCACCCCGCTGAGCAGAGGGCCGCCACGTGCTGTGGGAGGGCATGCGCGAGGGTGAAACCCTCCCAGTGAGAAATGTCCCGACACTTAGCTCTGACACTGGTGCTGTGCGCTCTGACCTGTAAACCACCAGACGACCCGACCTAGACGCAAGCTCGGGAACAGGTGACACGAGACACCAGGACCACAAACAGCGGCCTGAGGGATCAAGTCTCTGTCCCTCCTCGGCGACCCCAGGGCAGCTGCTGTGCACACTCCCCAGCCCTGGGAGACCAGGAGGGCAGCCCACTGCCGGAAGGTGTCCAGCAGGCCGCGGCCACGCCCCTCTGCGCCCACTGCCGGCCTTACGGGCACAGTCACGCTGCCTTCACCGCGGCCACAGCAGCTCTCATTGGGCGTCTCGCTGCAGAATCACCTCGAGGCACCGCAGGTGAGAGACCAGAGGGAGTGCCTGCAGGGCCTGGCCGTGCCGTGGCCCCCTCCCCGCGCCGTGGCCCCTCCCCGGAGCACCAGCCCCTCCGAGTCTGGGCAGCAGCACACCCAGCGGGCCTTGGGCCACCCAGGGGACCTGCCTGCAGCCGGCCTTCGGCTTCCCGAGGCACCGGGCTCCACTGCAGACGGTTTTCCACACTGCGCTGTCGTGCCCTTACTGCTTGCTGAAGCATTTGCCATGGGCCTGTGCACTCACCAGGCGGACAGCAAGAAGAGACAGAGAGAAAGCAAAAACACCCCAGGGGATGATCACGCCACACCCCTTCTCCCTGCCGTCCCGTGTGGAAGCCTCGGTCAGCGGCGTGCCCGCCCGGCCCCACGTGGTACACGCCCTCAGCCGGCTCCTGCCCTGCAGGCCCCCTCCTGCTCACACACTCAGCCGTCCCATGTGGAAGCTCAGGGTACTGACGGTATTAACGGGGGAACGAGAACACGTGCTCACAGCCATGTGAGGTGACCGCAGGGGGGGCGATGTCACCGTGGGCTGAGGACACGGGCAGGGCCGGCAGCGCTCACAGCGACCTCAGCCCCAGGATTGGGTGTGAACGACTGCGGCTCCAGCACAGCAACCCTCAGCGGCCCCGCAGTTCGTACGTGTGGAGCCAGACCCCCGTGGCTGGCCGTGGTCTGGACTGGGACAACACCGGGCACACGGGTGCCTCCAGTCCCCAATGGCGGAGGCACGAAGGAGAAGGGCCTGCGGGGTGGCGTACCCCGCGTGTGCTTCCTCCCCGTCTGCCCTGGCAACTCAGGGAGAAGCCTGGCACGCGCCTGTCTGTCTCTCTGACCTCACGGGCGTGGGTGTGGGCAGGGCACCACGTGGTGCACGGGGACCCGCGTGCCAGCCTGAGCCAGGGACACTGCCTGCCGAGGGCCAGAGGCTCGGAGCCGGAGCCTGGGCCCCTCTGGTGACCAGCACGGACCCGGTACCTGTTCCGGATTCCCTCTCGCCGTCCACTGGGCTTTGCTTCTGAAACAGTTTCAGAGACAATCCACCGATCCTCTCGTTCTCTGCGTCGATGGCTCTCTGAACCTCCTGTACCTCCTTTTTCTGAGCCAGAGGAAGCTCTCCCATTTTGTCTCTGCACTCGGGCTCACTGTTGCTGCCGTCATTGTCGCCATCACAGACTTCAAAGTCGTCCTCATAGTCCTAAAACAGCATCATTGGAAACCTAAAGCAGGTGGACTTCAAGGAGCACTTCCCTGAGTGAAATGCTACCGCTCACCTTTAGGTGGGCAAAGCCCTCGTCATGGCTAAAGAAAGACGCTCACAGTTCAGAGTTGGACGCCATGAAACTGCGCGTCTGTATGCAGTCACACCGTGGCCCTGCGTGCAGAGCTCTGAGCGACAGTAATGTGCGCACGCTCGTGCTGAGGCGGGAGTGCGAGGGCACGTGCGGTCCCACACGCTCGCTCGCTCGCTCGCATGCAGCCCACCTCCAACGGGGAGCACATGAGACACGGGGCAGGGGGCAGAGGTCAGCGCGGGAGCCTTCCGCAGCGAGGGCGAGGCCCACACCAAACCCGGTCGGGTGTGGAGCGGCACAGTGATGAAAAGACAGAGAACGGCTCCTGCGCTACTGCACGAGTGTTCAAGCGCGGACGTGTAAACCGAGAGGCGTCCACCCCCGTACGTACTTCAAAATCCTCTTCGAGATATTCATCAGCTCCAGCACTTTCCAAATCATCTTCCTTTTCCATTTCCTAGGGGTGGAAATCAAACACAAAGCAAAACAAGTCAGCCACAAACTGACTGCAAATGGACCCATTTTCTGAGACTCTTCCGCTTCACTTCTCTTGCCAGAGGGTGCGTTGCTCAGAGACAGAGAGCTCTGCCTCCGTGGGGCGTGGCCACGCCACACTCCTCCCTCTCCTCGCCACTGTCTGGATCTAGGCACACCTACACGCATGTCCAGGGCGGGAGTTCCAGCCGTGACGCCAAGTATGCCCGGCCCCTGTGGCACTGCACTTCCAAGCTGCCAGGCTGGCCCTGATGTGGCTCCTTTCCAGGCCAAGGCCAACATGGCCCATGTGACTTCTTATAAGAAACACCCTTGTTAGGGCCGGCAAGTGGCATGGTGGTTAAAGGCGCTGGACTCCCACATGGCCGACTACGGTTCAAGTCTCGGACCTGGTAGCTTGCTTTCTCACTTCCTCTCTCTCAATCTCTCTGATCAAACTGGAAAATAATAATGATCATAACAATAAATAAAGTTAAATAAAATAATTCTTAAAAAAAAAAAAAAAAAAGGAAACACCCTTGCTGAGCTATAGGTATGACCAAAATGAGAAAATAAGGGCCAATAGGTGGCATGGTGTTTGGGGTGTTGGACTCCCTATGGCTGACTGTGGTTCGAGTCCTAGACTCGGCAGCTTGAGACTCGCCCGGGGCACAAACGCGTGAGTCCAAAATCCCAAGCGGATGGAGGAGAAGGGACCCTGCTGCGTCTTATTCCCCCGGGGCTGATTTCTCACTTTCTGTCTCCCCAGCAACCACACACATCCTCTATCAGAACCTTTCTTTAAAAAACCCAAAAACAAAAACAAAAAAAACTGAGAAAACAGCTGATAAACATGTTTGGGGGAAACCTCTATAAGTCTAAGACTTCAAAAAACAAAAAAAATGACAAATAAATCTCAAATGTCCAGGGCCCACTTCCTACCCACAAGGACAGCTCACTACATGGTGCTTACCTTCCCCCGAACCAAGGACAGGACACAGAGACCGCTTGGCACAGCCCTGCCCAGTGTCCTGCTGTCAGGGGCCTGGTCAGAGCACTGCAGCACAGCACGCTCGCCCGAGAACGAGGACAGAGAACTGGGGACAGCCTCACACAGTGTAGGCCATAGAGCTCTGAAAGGGACAAGTGACGCCACGAGCCAACACTGAATGAGCACGTGGGGCCGGACAACGGACAGCATCCAGCAGACAGACGTCTAGACGGTCCAGGACGGCCGTCACGCCGTCCACAGAAATCAGCTCAACGATCACACACGTCCAGGGAACTGTGAGGCCGTGAGGCTCCTAGGGTATGGCACGGGAGCAACCCTGGGGGCCCCGGGCGAGGTCAGAGGCACAGCCCACGAAAGAAAGATCAGCAAGGTGGGCGTCTCTAAACTGAGCACTTCCGCAGTCAGTGGTGGCTCCTCACCAGCTAAACACGCTCTTCACACGTGACCTGGCGGCCGCGCTCTGCAGTACTCACCCCGAACAGTTAGAAACGCAACTTGAAAACACGTGTAAGCCTAGTCAGGCACGCTCATATCAGGCTGCTGGGAAGTCACAGCTTTTTGGAACGAAGGCACTCGTTTGTGTGTGGGAGTACCAGTCAGTCGTGTCTGTGTCATGGCTATGTCACCTGACAGCTGACCATCCTAGCTTCAGTCAAAAAAAAACCTGGGGACCAGCAGTTAGCGTAATGGCTATGTTGCTGGACTCCCACATAGTCGACTGCAGTTCGCGTCCCGGACCCGGTGGCTTAAACTCACGCCAGGCGCGTGTGCGTGCATGCCCAAGATCCTGAGAGGAGAATGGAGGAGAGGGGATTGTGGCATGACCATCCCACCTGGGGGGTGATTTCTCGCTTTCTGTCTCTCTGTCTCTCTCTCTCTCTCTGTCTGGCGAGCGCATGTGCCCTATTCTAGTTTCATTCTAAAAAAAAGCAATGTGGTTGAGTTTTGGAGATTTTACAACATGTTGAAGGTAGAACACTAAACTGTACATTTTCGCTACACTTTACTGTCTTACGTCCATAAAGGGAAGAATGTGCAAGCTTATGAAAAGTCACGCCAAGTTTACGGTGACAGTGCTTTACAAGGATGTCAGTGCCAACGATGGTTCATGAGACTCCGTGCTGGTGACCTTTATGTCAACGACGCTCCTCGGTCAGGGAGCCCCCCGAGGTTGATGACAACAGAATAAAGGCAATGGCCTAGTCAAGCCCACGTGACACGACACGAGAGGAGGCCGGCACACTGAACACCCCTCACCCAAGCCTTCCCCACCAGCTGGAGAAGCTGGGACAGGGAAGGACCCTCACTATCCGGGCTCCTCGTGAACTCAAAGGAGTTCCTTTGCTGGCGCGTATAAACTTCTGCGACATGCTCATTAACTGCGAGGAAAACCAGCCTTTTTTGAAGCGAGTGGTAACTGATGACGAAAAGCAGGTCGTTCACAACAGGGTGTGCCATCTATCCTGGTCGTCACACCGTGACGGTTTTCCTCAAGCAACATGGAAAGCAGGCATCGCCAGAGGAAGGTCATGCTCGAGGTGGAGGGATTTGAAAGGTGTTTGAGTTCCCAGCTTCCTTTCTACCAAGGAACCAACTAATTCCCGTGTGACCTGTCAGCGACTGGACATTTTGAACGTCATCATCCAGAAATGTCCGACGCTCGATGATCATAAAGGAGTTGCGTTCCATCACGACAGCGTGAGACCACACGTCTGGTCACCCGCTGAAATTCTCGGAGCTGGATGCGTGTGCTGCACGCCCACACCGCCTGACCCGCCGTGGACCCCACCTGTCCCATCTCCTCAGAACTCCTCACGTGGGGCCACATGCAATTCGGACGGGGCTGACATCAGCGTCTTGTTCAGTTTTTCACCGACAAAGACAGGTCTTTCTATGAGCAGGACTCGTGAAGCTCAATGAAAGACGGCAGGTTATCGAACAGAACGGGCAGTATAGCATTGGTTGGTCTTTGTTCTTTATATAAATCTTTGAAAAACAGAAAAAAACAGGCCCTGGTGTCTCTGGCCACCCAGTAGCAGCTTCCTTCCTAAGTGCCCACACTTAGAAGCAAGCAGAGGCGCCCCGGTGGTGAGCTGGCAGGACCTGTGGCCCATCCGGGTTACCCCAGCGTGATGCAGCTAGAAGGGCACCGCTGACCTTGAGGGACAGGCGCCAAAGACACTCCGCCAGCAGGGCGAGCCGGGCTGAGGCCACGGGCGTGTGATCTGGGCCTGGGGGGAGGGAGGGACGGGCAGGAGGGGCTCAGAGGACTCCAGGGCAATGGGACAGCTCCCTGTGGACTGTGGTGGTGGACCCACGTGGTCCGGCACCCGTCATGCCACAGCACGCGCGGTGCCACCTGAGCCCTAGCGCACACGGAGGACCTGTGCCGGGACGTGCTGGTCACAGCAGACACTGCGCACTAACGAGGTCACCCACGGGGAAGGGGCCGGCCTGCTCCGTGTCCCTGTAAACCACTTGTGGGCCAGCCAGTGGTGTGGTTAGGTAGCTGGAGCCCACATGGCCGATCCCACATGGTTTGAGTCCCAGACCCAGCAGCCTGGAAAACGCATTGGCATGTGTGCATGTGCACCCACAATCCTAAAAGGAGGGGGAGGTGGAGAAGAACTTTGGCACGACCGTCTCCCGTGGGGGCTGCTTTCTCACTTCCCTTCTCTTCCCAGTGGGCATGCACACCCTCTAGCTAGCAAGCAAAAAAACAAGTAAGGTCCTCTCGGCACCGCCAGCTGGTCAGTGTGGGCAATACGAACGACACACATGCACCAGTTCACGGCAGCCGGCACGGTAAGGGCCAACTGCTGTCAGGTGGGCAATACGAACGACACACATGCACCAGTTCACGGCAGCCAGCACGGTAAGGGCCAACTGCTGTCAGGCAGCCGGCAACCGTGGCCGTGATGACACGAGAGCCGCACATGCCATGGCTGGGGCCGCCCCGCGTCCTGTGCGTAGCAGGTCCAGGGCTGCAGTGCACCCACTGGGCAGACACTCCTGGTGGGAGGAGAGGGGGTGCAGGGCGGAGCTGGACGGTGCCGCGGGCATCCAGCGCGCCTCCCGCTGTCATGGGCTCTGCAGTGTCCCCTCGCCAACATGAAGACATGGACACTCGCTGTCTAGTTTTACACATGTTCCTAAAGAAGCCGTGACCTGGCACGTTTCTCACCAACGCAGCCTGGGCATGTCTTTGGTCACTCTGTGTCATTTCTTCAACTCTCCCCACCCTGATCCAGCCGAAAAGCAGGTAACTCAAGGCAGCTGGTCACTCACCCAGCGGCCACAGCCCCACTGAGCCCAGGCCCTGGCACCTGGCAGCCGCACGGTGATGCATGTCCCTCCCTGGGCCCACAGCAGGCCTCCAGCAAGACCACGGCCTCCAGTCAGGTCCGACGGAGTGCGCAGTGCGCTATGAACGGGCCCGCCCTGCACGGTGCGTCCTGTGGTCTGCAGGAGCAGGAACCGCACAAAGATGGGACACGAAGCTGGGGCAGGAGAGGAAGCAGGGGGCCGAGGCACCACAGGCTGCACTCCTTACCCCAGTGGCCTCACCTCCTCCCTGAGGAAATCCCACACCCACAAACCCTCCTCCCAGCTGAGCTGGGGCGCGGAGAACAGCTGTGGTCAGCTGGACACCGCTGCAACCCCAGGCGTCTCTGGGATGCTCGCCCAGCTCCTCCCAGGGCTGGCCCGAGTGGCAGGTACACAGACTGTGAAGCCCCAGCTCTGGGGACTGGGGCCCAGCGTGGTTACGAGCTGTGTGACTTAGCGTGAGTGACTCAGCCTCTCTGTGCCGTTTCCTCCTGTAGGAAATGGAATGACAGACGGCTGCAGAAAGCCCCCTTTGTGGAGCACGGATTCCCATACATGACGCCAGAAAAGTCCGACCATGCAACTGCTCACGTCGCTGACACCACGGAGGTCAACACTTAGGAGTCGTTACCTGGGGCCAGCAG